TTATCTATTAATCTGCTGCTCTATTTCTGATGATCGCTATATTCGGATGCTGAAAATTCTCCTGGTCTTTTAAATACGAATAGATATGCCTAAATTCTCGATCCGTTTGTAATTCGGCAGTGATACTTTCACGAGAGTCCAAGATTTTCGACACTAACGTAGTACATTTTATCTCATTGCCTTTTTCGTCTAATTTTAATCATGATAAAGCATCGGTCACAGCGTTGTCTTTCCCGGGCGTATGCTTAATTATTAAATTGTACTTTTTGTAGTTTTAAGGCCCAACTGATAAGTGTTTTCTGTAGTATAACCGACACACAGCAGCATGATCGGAATAGATTGTTACCTGTGTCTTGCCGAAATATAGTCTAAATTTCTGCACCTCTAATAGCACAGTCAATTCTTCCCTCTCTGTGTCCGCTTAATTACGCTATGTTTGGTTCAGAGTTTTACTAAAATAAGCTACAGGCTGACCACTCCGCATCAACACAAAGCCTACACCGTAATTTGAGGCATCAGCGGATGTTTCAAGATTTTCATCCTCTTCAGAGAATTTTAATCCTGGCGCTTGTATTAACACAGTTTTTAACTTCTCAAACGCTGTATTAGCCTCAGTTAACCAAGAAAACCTAGGTTCTTTTTTTCATTGACAATTTTAACAGCAGTTTGGCTATCTTTGCAAAGTGCTTTATAATTCGATAGTAAGAACACATGCCCAGAAATGAGGCTAATTTCTTCGCTGTGTTTGGCGGTTGGTAGTTTTTAATTGCAATTATTTCAGAATTTTCAGTTCATATTCCCCTTTAAAAATTTTTGTAATCTGAGTACCTAAGCCCTTTTGGCGCTAATTTACATTCGGCGGCATTCACTTTTAAACTGGCTTCTCTTAATAATGTAAAAATTTCATTTAAATCTTTAATATGGTCGTTGATATTTTTGATAGTCGCTATTCGCTTTCACTAGTAAAAAATAAAAGGTAGGTAAATAAAAGTAGATTTTCCGAGGACAGCTTTTAAAATTATGTCCATATATCTTTGAATGGTCGCCAGTGATCCACAGAAGCCAAAAGGCATTTTCAGAAAGACATAAAGACATTTATGTGTCTGATTTTGTTATGAATGCGGTTTTTGGAACATCCTTCGAATTTCATAACCATTTGAAGAACTCCGAGGTAAGATCTAACGCGGTCAGGTATTTAGTTGATTTTATCTTCCTTATGATCTCTTCGATTATAGGCAGTGGATAAACGGGATATTTCGTTAAACTGTTTAGCTTCCTATAATCAATAGCAAATTGCCAAGCTTTAAAGTCCGGCGGAGGCAGATTATTCTTTTTGCGGCACAACACTAAAGGACTAGCGTAAGGAGTGTTTATGGGAATAATTATTTTATTTTTAATATTTTTTCAATATGTTAGTGAATTATATCTTCTTTAACTTTATCGTTCGAGTAACGCCTTGCTCTACAGGCGCCGTTCTTTTGCAGTTCAATGTTACATTGCACTGTTTGGGTTACACGTGCCTTCTCACAAAATAAATCAATAAAATTTCTTATCAGACCTTCTTGTTTCTTCTTGTCTTCGGATTGCAGCTCCAAGACGTTGGTTGTTCTGCTTCTTCGTGATTCGCTTGCATTTATAATTGGACTCTTGCTTCCTGGAAATTAATTTATACTCCTGCCGTCTTCAGGAGTTTCATGCCTAATAACTGGAGCTTGTAAATTTTTACCAGCGAAAAAAATTGTCTTTTGGGTCTCATTTTTAACTTGAACATTTAACGTGACATTTCCTATACTACGGCAATATTTGCCTTGTGCGGCAATAAACTTCCTATTTGCTACACTAAGCAATGGATATCTTTTAAGATTTATACGAGAAAAATTCTTATAAAGGAAGTTTGCTTTCGCCCCCTTCGATTTAACTTGACTGGCCCACAAACCAAGTTGGAGTAAGCCCTGTGTTAGTCGTATGGGAGCATCAGGCATCCTGCGTAGTACTGGCGGGTAGCAGTTTTGACGACCAATCAAGTCTCCATGCGTGCATATTCCCTCGAAGTTGGGAAATCTAGGACCCGGAAGAGGTGACCCCACGCGCCCAGGGAGGTAGCAGCGGTTATAGAGAAACTTAAAATCTGCCTTCGTGTATTGTGGTCTCGGGGCGGTGGCATGATTAGCGCACATTTCACCTCTTGGGGAACTAAGACTGGCTACCCACCACCTGCCTAATATTGGGGTCTCTCAGTTGGGACAGGTTCGTGTAGTGTCGAACAGACGGAGCACAATAGATAAATATTACACTGGTGTGCAAAAATTAAGGACGAGACGGTTTTTTCAATATAACTTTGTACAAAAGCTTTCCAAATCAACACATTTAATACCGTAAGATCCCCAATGCGTAAGGACATGAGTAATGTAAGCAAAACTTATTAAAAGAGAAATCAGAGGGATAAAAAGAAGCTTTATTGAAAAAGAAGCATGGAGCGCAATGCGACTGACGGCCGAAACATCCCTGTGATGGGTGTCCAGCAAGAAACATCCGGTCTTTAATAGGGGATATGATCTCCCCTGACTGCTAGGCAGGTTTCACAGCGTCTGCCCATGCTGAGAATGAGGGTGTCAATGAGTTGTTGAGGCATTGCTGCCCATTCGTCTTGCAGCGCCAATAGAAGCTCTGGAATCGTTACTGGTGGTAAGGTACGAGCTGCCAAGCGTCTGCCTAGAAAATCCCATACATGCTCGATGGGATTGAGATCCGGAGATAGTGCCGGCCAATCCATACGTTCAATATCCTCACTCTCTAAGAGCTGTTCGGCAGCTACTGTGCGATGACATGGTGCATTGTCGTCCATGAAAAGGAACTGCGGACCCATAGCGCCTTTAAAAAGACGCACATATGGAAGAAGAGTCTCGTTACAATAACGGGTCCCGTTGACTGAACCTGCGTCGAAGATGTGAAGGTCTGTACGACTACCAAGCATGGTGCCTCCCCAAACGAGAACACCGCCACCTCCATACCTGTCCCTTTCAATGATGTTCGAGGGATGATTGCGGCTTCCCCGCTCTCTCCAGATGAGTATGCGATGAGAATCGCTACTCAGACTGAATCTGCTCTCATCTGTAAAGAGTACTCGTCCCCATTCATTGTCTCTCCAATTCCGTGTTTCCCGGCACCACAGAGAACGGCTTCTCCAATGGGCAGGCGTTAGAGGTACACACCGTACAGGGCGTCGTGCAAACAGACCACCACCGTGCAGTCTTCTGGCCACGGTAAAACGCGATATCGGTCGTCCAGTCGCCTTTGTCGTGTGTCTAGCGATTTCTCCCGTTGTCTTCCGCCTGTTTCTTCTGGCCTGTAAGGCAATATACCGGTCATCTGCGGGTGTGGTTCCTCGTGGACGACCACTACTAAACCCCCGGATAGCTGTTCCTGTAGTTTGAAATTGTCTCCAAAGTCGTGAAACGATGCTGTGAGCAATTCCGAACTCTGCAGCCCCACTTGTCACACTGCGGCCTTCCTCCAACTTCCCAATGATTCGACCTCGGGTAAAAGCATCCAGATGTCGTCTAACAGATTGATTATTCGCCATTTCTCGCTGAGGCAGCAACTCGGTGTGATTTTAACTGCTATACGGCGTGCAATCTCTTTGCCAGAAATACTGATCTTACACCGATAACATGCTTTATACTACTCAGACACTCCCCCATTACGTCTACCTGCATATCTGCGCATGTGCTACCGTACATCACCTTACTTAATCTCCTGATTGGTCTTTCTGTCCGCTCTACCTCTTCGTTCAGCTGATATGCTAATTTTTCGACTTCGTCCTTAATTTTTGCACACCAGTGTATTATTCGACCCTATTCTAACAAGGCCTCCCGTGGCACATTATTTAACAAAACCTGAATGACCGTCAAAGCTAAATTTTTTATGACCACTGTATTTAATTGCATTTTAGAGGGAATTATATACGAGCGAAATAACAAATGCTTCTCCTTCCCTTGTTTTGTATCTTGCGGCTTGCTTTGGCAATCACCAAAATTTTTCTTTCTATTTCTATAATCTTTCCTTCTGTTGAATTTCCGCTATCGGCCTACGAAATTGTCCGTTCGATCTCTGCCCGTAATCCTGCTTTACGTGTACTTTCGGCCGCCCTCCGGCTTTCAAATATGATCTCCAGTTCAGGCAACTTTTGAAAAGTGCTGGGGATTCTCAATTCAGTAGACTCCTGAATTTGGGGCAATTGTCAGGGCAAAATAACCTGGATCATTTTATTATCGAGCCTTTTCCCTTACAATAAATTAATAACTTGAATTTTTCTTAAAATAAACTCGGTCAACTTTTCCACCTTCCTTTGGTACTTACTAAATAATTCAGCTTCTAACTTCGCTCTGTCTTTGAGCACTGGGGATGCTTTTCCAGGATGGTCTTAAATCGTTCAATGTGCATGTCTCACTGCCTATTTGTATCAACTTCTATCCTGTCTTGGTAGGGCAGTGGTAGCTATCGTTAGTTTTTGAACTTCTGGGAACGGGGACAGCCAAAAGTGGTTATCCTGCTGTTCCAAAAAAAATTTGTTGACCGATGTTTTACCAACAAGTGTCATTGTGGGTTTCATGGAAGACCGCAGTGATATTTGATGGTATCCCTAATTTGCATCCCAAACTTTGTTTTAATTCTTGCAAAGATTTTTGAAATCGAAAGTTTTTTCTCTCAAGAATTTTTTATTACCTAGTATGCACATAATGATTAAATGGTTCATCATTCCACTTCACGTACTTTTACTTCAGTTTAAATTACTTGCGTTAACTAATACTTTTTTACCCCCTTCCCGCAGAACATCTTGGAATATATTTCTGTGTCGATGCTATAGATTCTACTTTTCCCCTTCATTTCAAGATAGTTTACCCCGAATAATAATAATAAGTATTTATTTTCGCCAAGCTCGGAGCTACGTAAAATGTATGTGTATAAAAAGATGCTTATTACTTTTAAGGAATCCAAAATGCATTGTATAAAGTAATATATTTCTTAAATATACAAAAGCATATTAAGGCATTGAAACTCAACCTGAAGTTTCAGGCGAATATTCTGCAATAAAAAAATATAAATGCTTTACGCATGTGATGCAGTTCAAGCAGAATTATAAGCTTATAGCAGTGCTTAAGAAAGAAGCTAAAATGTGAACAATGATCAGATGCTCTTCTCTCAAGAATAGATTTTTCACTTATGAATCCAAAGGCAGGGGCTCGTGACTATATTTCATCTTCCCTCTATTAAAATCTGCTACTGTGTTTCCAGATCCATATAGCACCCACTTTGTCGTTAATAAGCCTTCTACTCCCACAGGTCCTGTTGCATGAATACGGCTAGTGCTAATGCCCACTTCAGCACCTAAAGGGATTTTACATTATTTTAACATTTCCATTTTGTAACTAGACACAAAATATAATAATGATTTATAAAAGAGGTGGTGTTAGACAGGAATTCAAAACTGCCAAGTGTCACATTATAGAAAATATAGAAATCTGATACTTTAACAGGTAATGCAGTGCCGACAATTTAACTTAAATGGTACCTAACAAATATGTGTCACTGAAAATGTCGCGCAACCGGCATAGTGGTTAGTGACGCTGACTGCCATACCAAAGAGCCAAGGTTTGAATCCCGAAGAAGGCAACAGTGCTTGTAAAGGTAATTTTGTAAATGTTTTTGTAAATGATATTTGTAATAATATTTGTAAATGTTCGTAAATCTTGTTCCGTGCGACATGGGGACACTCTAAATATGCGGTGATCGAAAGTCCTCTCGAGAGGTTGGAGGTAGAGAAAGAAGGAAGGGTCAGCCTTGGACCCGTCCTACTGGGGTGCTTTCTTTCAAATTTGGAGGAGGAACTGAGCTAAAGTCTGGCTGTCACCTATATAGCGGTCAAAGCTCATGTCAATGACAAGCGTATTTGACTTCTTGCCATGAAGAATGTCGTGGACTTGTGCAGACCATTGTCAGACAAGCGAGATTGGTAGCAACAACATCGCTGAAAATTGAAGGGATGTAGATGTCCAAGGGAAATAATCTATGCGCTGAAATAAGGATATTATTTCTTTTTTCCACGTTTCTAGAAAAAGGATAGAATATATCGTAATTCAATATTTGTTATTAATTCCAAATCCTACAAATACCTCCTCATATCATCGTCATAAACAAACATACATGCACTAGCAAACTACTCTGTCTCAAAAGATCATTCAGTTTCTAAACTCTCTAAAGTTAAATCCTTTCATAATCTTCCAACTCATTTAAGAAAAATCGCTGATTCTACCTACTGCTAAATATGCTAGAGAATTCACTACAGTTGCGCCATATAATAACTTTCAACTTCCTTCCTTTGTTTGTAATTCAGGAAAAACATCATATTGATTAGTCAAATATTTATTTTGTCAATGCTATAATTTTAACATTAATTATTAATGCAAAGAAATATTAACATTTGCTCCCACTTAAAAGGATATTAGAGACAATCCCAAGACTCATTTAATCATATTAAGAGGTGATGAATTAGCGTCCATCACATTTTAGTTCGGTGACATTAAAGAGACTATTATGTTTTTCTGTTCAGAAAAAGCGGAAATCAATTAAGCTCTTGCCAAAATTCAACCTATGGATCTCCCCAGATTTGATAACTGTTTACACCACGGGAAGAGCACGCAAGGGGAAATGCTGTTATTCTTTCACAATGTGAAATTTGAATTCCTGAGGAATTCATACCATTTCTACTCAGCAGAGAATAGATTAAGGCTGCTTAAAAATTCTGTATTGGAGAATGCAGTCTGATGGCAGCCAAGAAGGTTATTAAGTCTTAAAAGCAACAATTATTGATTTTATTATTAGTGTCCCCTCTCTTTTCTAATTTTTCTTCCTTTAAATTTAACAATAAATAAAGATAAAAATTATAAACGTTTTGGCAGGAGGAGGAGGAATTAGATTTCTTTGAAGCTTTCAACAAATGCAAAATCTACTAGCTTTGAGTAACATTCCTTTTCGGTCTCTTTCCCTCTTTTCTTTTTTGGTTTATTTTACGAACATGTAACAAATAATGCCAATGTTCTTCACTTATTTCATTTCGACTTTTTTTAACTTTATTTACTTTTATTGGCATTTAAGCAATGAAATTTCGTAGAAAGTCTTAGAATTTCGTAGTCGAACATTTGGCTGATTTTAAGAAAAAGAACGATTTTCTTGTAATGCCAAGAGCAGGTGTCGGCAAACTATGGTACGAAGCAGAATTCTCAGTGGCACTTTACACCACTCTACCCAAAGTATCACATAAAGGTAATATATTGCCTTGTTTCTCCTCTCTGCAGCGCCCCGCCTCACGCATTTTGTCACCTTTCGTTCGGTTCGTTGCGCCGATGCACGAGTATCGGAGTATGATTTTAATTCGATGCATGTCTTGCGGTATAAGATGCTTTTAAGTTTACAACACGTTCTTAGTTTTAATGTGAAAACTTGTATTTTGTTTGTTTAATTATTGTGACAATTCATACCCACATATTTAATTAAATGTCTACTAAAAAAAAAGCCTTATGTTCCCGGTTTTCAAGAGTTGGACGAATGAATACATATTCGTAAATAAAAAGAATCGTGTTGTATGTGTCTTATGTCGCAAAGCGTCATATGTATCACATTAAGTATGCAAAGACATTTTGAAACTAAACATTAGTCCACATTTCAGAATTCCGATGAGAAATTTCAAGTTATAAAAACAGCTCTTTCTGGATATAAGAAACAAGTTACTTTTTTCTTGTCAAACAAGTGGAACCAAATCTAATGCGAGGAATGTAGTTTCGTAATTGCTCATTGTGTAGTCGCCAAAGGCAAAACTTCCACAGATAGCGGATATATTAAAGGACATAATTTTAAAAAGTGTTGAAATATTATTCAGCGATTTACCAAATTCACGAACAGTATTACTCTGAATTCAAGAAATATCGGTTTCTGAGCAAACTATTGAAAGACGGATAGCTGAAATAGCAGAAAATGTAACAACAAAACAGAATTCTGGGTTACAAGAAACTGCTGCATTTAGCGTTGCTCTTGATGAAAATATTGAAGTGAATGATGTTTCGTGCCTTGTTTTGTTATTATATTGTTATTCTATGTTGCTTATCTTTTATTTTAATAAATATACATATAAAAGATACATAATATATGTATAATTTAATTTTCTTTTAATTTCTATTAATTAAATATTTATATTGCATTTTGTTTATTTTATATTAATAAATACCTTTAAATGATGCATAATCAATATATAATAAAACTCTAAATCTGTATTTTTGATCTCTGTTTCCTGACATATGACTAACTCTGTTCCCATGCACTGTTGCGGGAATTGAACTATATCAAATATTTCCTACAGTGCGGCACATTGTATCATATTGGTAGATTGGTTTGGCACACCACAGCTACAAAGTTGCCGACTGCTGGCCGACAGCATTTCTGCATAATTTACACCAAGTCGAATTTTGCTTAATTTAAGACGTTAATTGTAAGGAAAGCTACTGTGTAATCTGTTCCGCTAATTACATACATTCAACTTTAAAATAAGTGCAAAGAGGTAAATGTTTTGTGGGTTTGTGTGTCCTAACGTAACTTCAATTTCGAAACTAAATTGCGTTCTTTTACTATCTATTAAGTTGAAAGAATGACTTAGGGATATTAGGGAATTATCGAATGTGTCCTTCTATTCCAAATATGTATGACAAATTTAAGACCTATACAGTGAATTCTACATCATTAATTAAAATAAGTAATAAATTTTACAGAATTATTATCCGGTACCACAATTATTCAGAAGGGAAATCTTCAGATCAGAAAATATCCTTCCTAAAATTCAAGATAAAATTTTCAGATTTATGAAACGGAAGGCTCCCTTCACTTGAACCTTTTACGATCTTAAGGTATCTTGAAACATGGGGCCAGCTGGAATACACGGACCTTCATGATTGTAACTTACACGACTCAATAGATACGCCTGTGGTACTTCATACTAAATATACCATAGTCAGATAAATTATCAGTTTCTAATCCAAAATGTACAGGAAAACTTTTATTTCTTTAGAAATATTTTAACAAATTCCTGAAACTCAATCAGTTTGTATTTACTCTGCATCATGTTATTCGTGAATACGCTTGGTAATCATTAAAACTTCACGAATTAAAGCTATAAATACAAAAGTGTCTTGACTGTGTCATATGCGTGACCGAATGGTGGCCAGACAATCGGGAATGTCGGTTAACAAGGAACCACGGAAGACTGGTTATTAAAATAATTCTAAGCAACATTTTATACAAGCTCGGTGTAACAAAAGACGGGCATAATTACTTCATGTTAAAATTAGATGGAAATTTATTTTTATTTGCATATAATAATAAAATTACGTTATTAAGAAATTAAGGCAAGTCCATCACGACACGCAGTGCACTATACAAAAATTGTACGATAGAAAAAAAAATTGTAATAGATATTAAAAGAAGTGATAATATATTGTTGAGTGTGTAGGGGTTCGTAATGGATTGAATTCACACAGGTCCGACTATAGGTTAATAACATTTATTTTATCAAAAGAAACGCTTCAAAGTTCTGGAATTTTCCGCAGAAGTACTCGTACAGGTGTTCACAGTATAGCAGAGTACAATTAGTAGTTATGCTTCAAACTATTAAGAACGTTAAAAACACAACGCAGTGAAGCGCATCTAGAGAGAAAGCTAACACGGAAATACCTCCAATCTCACTCTGAACTAGCAACTCGCAACAATAACAAAAATAACAACTAACTAAGAATAGATTCAACTTATATCTCCGGCCCTATTACATATTCATGGAATTTTGCTAGCTCCTTGGTTAATAAGCCCTAAGGTAAATGATAATAAATAGCTCCTGACTTGGTACTAAGAGTAGATGCTCTCTCTCCGGCCTTATATAGTTTTCAGCCAAACGCCGAGATATTTCTAGGACTTTCAGCTTCTCGGATTTACTGGAAAGCCATATGAGGGTCGAACTACAGTTGCATCTAATATAGTGATCAATTACATTTATTCAATTGCAACACCTATTACCGTGATACAGGGACCGGACCCAAATGTCCCCAAATGGTAGCCATGTTTGGAGGCTTTTGGCGATTTCTTGCCAAATTACCGAGATACCCACTTACTCAATGTTAAATGGACTTGTCCCTGTATGCTGTGTGTACTTTTCCAGCCTAGCTCGTCTCTTTAGATTTTTACATGTTACATTATACAAACGAAATACAACAATTTTACTTATAATTCCACTAAAATTACCCATCTAAGTATAAAATTCGTAAAAATACATACAGAAAAATTCAACAAGTTATTTTCCGAAAAATCTATGTTAATAATTACAATTTCAAGTAAACTTCAGAAGTCCATTCTGTTTCATGTTTTTATACTTAACTATTTACTTACCGAGCCCATACCGATAACCATCAGCAAACCTCGTGCTGGCATTATGGAAAACACATGCACTATCGACGCTTTGTAAGAATTTCTGGGCAGCCCCCTCTGAAACACAATGTTATGAAATTTACTTATTTAAATAAATATAAACAAAATAAAAAATGATACAAAAATAAAATCATGTTTAATGTTGTTTTACTGCTTTCCTAGGTGTAGTTTCTCCGTAATGCATTCGCATGAATTTTGGAGATTTTTTGTTTGTAATAGAAAGGGTCTCTTTTTTTTTTAGCGCATATTAATATACCAACGGTACAATGCTGAAATCACGAAACTGCAGTTTTTTCTCTTTTCTCTTAAGTGCACTACTTAATTTTACTTTTATTTATTTTTTCCGGTGTATTATACTGGAGTAAATGTGAAAGATAAATATAAAGGAATTATCATATAAAAGTCACAATTCATGAAATTTGTTTTTCAGATTTCAAACTCTAAGATTTTTTTTCCTTAGAACAACTTTTTGCAGGTTGCGGTTTGCACGTGATGTGACATTTACCGAGCAACATATCGTATAATATGTAGCACAAGAGCTGTAGGTCTTGAATTACTGCCATATTAGATTTAATATGGTTCAAATCGGAAATAGCATAAAATAACATCCGTGCATTTGAAAAAACTTCCAGCTGAAACCAGGAAACTTAGTGCCATGAGCCATTCATGAAAATGTCATTTTAGATTCTATACGATTAAGCTCATGGCAGCCTGGGACGAGCAATGATATAATGTCAAAATTAAATTTTTAATTTTTAGCAAAATTACTCAAAAACAAGGACATAACTCATTTAAAGAATACAAAATCAAAATACCCCATTTTATCAGTTAGCTAATTAATATGTGCGACGTAATTCAAAGCAGCGCTTTTTTTTTCGGGGGAGGGAAGACTCCGTAGGAAGGTCGTAATGTTTAATGTCAATAATTTAAAATTCTGGTTCAGAAACTGAAAGCAATGAAAAGGAGAACCTATTATTGCATCACGACAAAAGGTTTGTAATTTTATTGTAACATCAGAAGAAAAAAGAAGCAGGAAATAAGTATGTATCTTTCAGTAAATTGAAACAACATTTTATCACACAGTTTACCGATACCTGTACTGCCACTGCCTCTAGAAGATATGTTACCTTTACGCACTGAATTATTTTTAAATAAATGTGATAAAATGTTAGAAGTATTCCATAATCTATGCTTAATCTTGCATGCTTCTTCAAGTCGAACAGACTAAATTTCAAGGTAGTATTCTCGGGGGCTTCACATAAGTAGCAATAGTAATGCAGCAAATAACTAGTGCCTACGAGTATAATCGTATTCCTTCTATTCGATTCGTACGTTTCAGCAGGTTATATGCGTTAAAAATGGTAAATGTCAAAAGAAATAAATATCTAAAATACCTAAAAATTTTAGAAACTTTTCGAATAAGTCAGGCAGTTTTCAGAAGCAACCTTCCTTTAGACATGTTAGTTAAAGGGGGTTGCTGATCAAAATTCAAAGTTTTCCAATCGATTTCTGTGGAAGAAAAGTATTGCATAAAATGTTTCTTTATTTAAAATAGGTAGGCTATTATACATGGTGCTCGGAAAATACTTAGCAAAAATGTAAAGATAGAAGAGACAGAAACAAATCGATTTTTAATGGAATTGTGTGTCAAAGCAGCGTGTTGAGGCGGCAGACCGCCAGTTGAATGCTTTTATCTTGGCCAGAAGATAAAAGCATTCAGCTGGCGTAAATTGCCCCTCCCTTGTCCGGATTTAAAGCATTATGCATCGTTACAGGGAAGCGAAGCCTGCCGTCATGCATTTTATGTATGAGGCTGCGGCTAAAACGGAGCCATTACTAAAATGAGGTGTAATGAACAATTGCAGTGTACCTTTAAGCAGCTTCTACCTTTCCGTATAACAGCCTACAGATAAAATGCATATCGGAGAGTTCTTTTTTCAGGTAACGATGTTTATCGCTCGAAATCCGCACGAGGAGAGCATTTAAAGCAAACGTAAGTTTGTTGCGGAATATACTTACCATCTTCGGTGACTATCACATCTGTATGACCACTTCCGTAGGTATTGATATGACTGACAGCCGACTCTACGCAATCGACTATTTCGACAGCACATTCCAGAGATCCATATTCAATTTTCATTGATTTAGCAGGAGGTGGGCCAAAGGTCAAAAGATTATGCAGACGAGGTCCTGAATAAATATTAACCTGTAAAAAATAATAAAATTTATTTGCATAAATTATTCAAAAGTAAAAGATTTAAAGAGTAAGAATAAACAAATTTACCCCTTCTTTCTTTAAAGAATTGCAAATATCAACAAAAAAGTTATTTTCTAAATGACATCGGTGCAATAACAATGTCTCCATTGCATTGCATGCTGCTGGATAATCGCATTTTGAGTCCTTCACTGAAATCAAGAAAGAAGAAAATAGTATGAAATTTTGTTTAAGAGACAAAAAATGTTTCAGTACATACATCTTAGAATTTACACAAAACATAAATTTTTGAATATTTATATCAATTTCGTTTGACTGTAGTCATTGAGTAATAGTATTTATCATAGTGCATAAAATTACATTTCAAATTTATATAGAATTGCATAATGCTTCCTAGTTTAATACCACCTAAATTTTTTACAAAAATGCTAGAAATTTACTTACAGTTTTAGGAGTTATTATCGAAAAATTAACTATCAATAAACTAACTCAGCTACTTTTCATTTGATGCCAAATATATAAAGAGGAATGTTCTTTTTTAGACTTTTCTGATTTGTAATTAAATCGAGTTCCATTCATATAGTACCTTCTATCGCATTTTCGTATTTTATTCTATCGTTTTGCTTTCTCCAGAAACAGCTGACAAGAAAAATCATAGACACAAATACATAGAAGACAGAGTCAAAATGACCCTTCTGGAGAACTTTTCCAAAAACCTGAACGACTCTTTCACATGTCAAGTTTTTTTTAATAAAATATGTATGTTTTTTAAATACTTTTTAGATATGACATTAAAAAAATTATAGGGAAAAATTCTTCATTTTGGAATAAAATGTATGTTTTTTAGATAGATAAGGAAAAACACACAAAAATTTCAAGTTTTTATAATAAAAATGAAGAAATGACATTAGAGTTTAGAATAGAAATGAGACATATTTTTAAATAGGAAACAATACACAAAAATCTGAAGTTTTTAGAATAGAAATCATATAAAAATATATGTTTCTTAGGTATGAAAAAGTCTTAAAGTTTTAGAATAAAAATGAAATAAATATTAGGATTTTTTAAATAAAAAATAAATATGACTCAGAGTTTAAAAAAAAATGCATTTTTAAGATTATTTTTCTAATTCATACGAATATTCTCATCTTTCATATCTTTATAGTTGAATATGTAATTTCCATGATTAATTTTGTTGATTGCATTGTCAGTAAGATTCCATGACTTATTCTAAGAAAATACTCCTTTTCTTCATCACCTACTGATATATTTGCAGTACATGAATCTCCATATTTAGTTTTTATTTTTCTCGGTAACATCATATTATATCTAGCAGGCTCTAAAAATATCAATTATAGAGTTTTAGGATAATATCCGAGACCTGAATTCTTCCATGAGGATTTAATTTCCTTGAGGCTTAAATTCCATGAATTCTTCCATGGGGCAATTTTTAAAGACTTTTATTTAGAAAAAAAATTTTATTACTATTTTTTTTTATTTATAGTCGTTAGGTTGAAGCAGGAGACGTGAAAAACGCGCAGTGCTTTTGCCGGGACTCGAACCTGGACGTCTCGATCGATACGTATTCGAGAGGTCCAGGTTCTTAATAATTAATAAAATATTCACTATGATTTACCATAATAAATATTCATTATGATTATTCTTTGCGTGTAATACTTCAAGTTTACAAGATTTATAATAAAATCTCATGATTTTATTAAAATGACATAGAAATAAAATTTGACAAAACGATATAAAAGGTTTTTAGATCTTTTTCTAACATACATATATGCAGATAATTCACAAAGAATGCATTTTCCTTTTCTAAATCATTCATTTTTTTTCAACGTAATAGCAAAATTTATAAAGATGAGTTAATAGAAGGAAATTTATGCCCTGTTTATTTGGTTTATGGTTAAATTCAATTTAAGAATTTTAATATTTACTTCTTCTTCAACTTTTCATCCATTTATTAGTAAACATTTCTTTTAAGATTCGCACACATATGAGAATATAATACAAATTCTCTCATAATGCCTTCTAAAGAAATTCCGCCACTTGTTTATATAAATTTGGATTGCACTAGACTACTTTCTCCTCATGTTTATTTAAAAAATCTTCGCTGAAATCTTGATGCTGAGTTATTTCAAAGCTATTTACTACATCTTTCAATTTTTCAATAATACTATTTTCTGTTAATTTTTTATATCTAGAAACTAATTTCACATTTAATTTTCTAAAATTTTGTAAAACAAAATTATTAGGTAAAGACTGGTATTCTGATATTGTATCCCAATTAATTTTGCCTTTGTTATCTAAAATGGATTTTTTAAATAATACTTGATATCTAGATAGAATGTCCCAATTAAGGAGATTTTCGTACATGATCATGAACGGTTTAGATGCTTCTCATATGCTAAAATGTTATCCCAAAAAACTCACTTTTTATATTCACTGATGAAAGGTTCAGATAATTTTTGATATCCACAAATCAAATCCCAATGAACAACATTTTCAAAATTTCAAATTAAATCTTCAATTAAAACAATGTTTTAGAAATCTTGCACTAGTTCAGCGTTTCTCAAAGTGTGGGTCGCAACCCGGCACAGAGTAGCAGAAAATTTCAGCTGGGTCGTGGCAAAAATTGTAATAACACAAAAAATCTATATCATTTTGCTTTAAATTTAATATTTTTCGAAACTTTTTCAAGTACTGCAGGTGGCAACCCTTTACCACCGTTTCCTACAGGACCGTTTAAATTCGGATGCTCTGATTGGCTGATTTCGATTTGTCATTCAGTGCCTTCTCCGGTACATGTGCCGTAAACTCACGTGTATCAAAACAAGGTTATGTTTGAATTTTTGTTACCTATTTTATTTGACAATAGTTATTATTACTTATTATTAATAGCAACTTCATATTGGTAAGTAATAAAAATAATTTTTCTTATAAATCATTAATAAACAAATTCTTTTTATTAAAGCTTTCAACCTTTTTTTAAAACGGATAAATGGTTAATCAAAAAACCACAGATTTAAATGATGATGATCAACCAAGCACGAGCAAAGCTAAATATTATGATGGTGATGAAACTGTGCCTGAAGCACCTAAAGGAGACATACAGCGCCAAAATAACAAGCGTAAAGCTATTTGGACTCGCAACTATTGTGACGAATATTTACGCTTTGGGTTCATTGCCGGCGGCAGTCAAAATAATTTGCCGCTATGTGTTATTTGCAATGAGCAACTTTCAAATGAAAGTATGAAACCGTCAAAGTTGAAACGGCATTTAAGCACACTCCATTCTGAGTACTCTGATAAGCCAAATAACTTTTTTACTGGTAAGAAAAATGAATTTATTGCTGCTCGAAACCAAATGAAAAATACACTCTCACCTCACCAGTTAAATAAAAACCTCACTTTGACATCTTTTTGAATTTCCAAATTAAGCTGAAACTGGGTATCCTCTAGGTTGGAGAAATTTAATACTTCCCGCTTTGAAAATTGTCGCAAATAATTTATGCGGAATAAAGGAAAAATGTTTATTTTCGGCGATACCATTATCAAATAATACAGTTAAACGGAAAATTGATGATTGGGCGAAACATTTAGAAGAACTAGTTGTTCAAGTAGAAAAGAGCAAGTTTTTTTCCTTGCAAAGAGATGAAAGCACGGATATCGAGAATAATGCAAATCTAATGTGTTTTATCAGATATATTGACCAAGACACCATACAAGAAAATGTTTTGTTGTAAAAGGCTACCGACAAGAACGACCTCAGATGAAATTTTTAAGGCTGCCAATGATTTTGTCACTAGTCACGGTATTGATTGGATGAAGTGTGTTGGGCTAAGTAGCGACGGAGCACGTGTAATGGCAGGCTGTCATATAGGTTTGTTTAAACAAATTCAAGAATTAGCAATTAATTGCGTATATGGGTGCACTGTACTATCCATAAACAAGCGTTTGGCGGTAAAACCAAATGCCCTTAAATTTAACCGACTTTGAAAGAATAAGTGCCAAGTTTGTAAACTACATAAAGTCTTGTCTATTAAATGACAGACAGACGTTTTATCGAATTATGCAAGGAAATGGGGAGTTTATATAACATCTCCTTTTGTATTGTAATTCACGATGGCTTTCAAAAGGAAGCGTTTTAAAACGTCTGTTTGAGCTAAAAGACGAAGCCTTGGTATTTCTGAATAAACACTCACCATCTAAAAAAGATGCTATTTTTCCATTTAAGGATAGATTCCACGATTTCTAGTGGTTAATCAAAGTAGCTTATTTGCGCCTTTGCTACATTCAATGAATTGAATTTAAATTTGCAAGGCTTTGGTTTAAATATTTTCAAAGCATCGGAAAAAATCGCTGCAATAATTTAAGAAAAAAAGGACTCTGTGGAAACAACGACTTTCAGAAGGAAGTTTTAAATCTTTTGAAACATTACATAAATTTATTGAAACCCATTCAAACTACGATGAAGAAGATTTACATCTTGAAACACTATTAGTTTCAATTCAAGAACATCTTTTGGAGCTAATAAATAGTTTTAAAAACTACTTTCCGGATATTCCCTCAAATAATATGTGGATTTAAAGATCCTTTCTCTGTCGAATATTGAAAAGGAAGAAATGCTTAATCTTAGTAAACAAGAAGTTGATAATTTAATTGAAATTTCATGCGACACTGATCTTAAAAAAGTGTTTGAAACTGTACCACTAATTAATTTTTGGTTGCGCTGTTAAAAGGAATATCCAAACGTAAGCGAAAAAGCGATACAATTTTAAATGCCTTTTGTCACCATTTATGCGAGTGAAACTGCTTTCTCAGCCCTTGGTCTACTTAAAAAGTAAGTATCGAAACAGATTGGATGTCGAACCTAATTTGAGAATAAAATTAACATCATTAAGTCCTAATCTGAAATTACTATGTGATGAAAAACAGCATTATCCTTCGCACTAAGGTCAAAATATGTAAAACAAAATTTACTTTATTTACTTTAAGTTTTAAATGAAGACAATGGATTGTCTTTAATTACTTATGTTTTTGTTATATAATTATTTTGCAATTTTTTTGTATGAAATAAACAAACAAATAACTTGAATTTGATTTTTATTAAAAAATGAAATTTGTTTCGTAAATAAATGTTTTTATAATAAGGTGGGTCGCGAAAATATTTAAAATCTCGTACCGGGCCGCGGTCAAAGTAGTTTGGGAAACGCTGCCCTAGTTAACTTCCATTTATTTAGGATGATATATCTTCGTTATAATCCAAGCTTCCTAGTAACTCTCAGGTACCGTTGTGTGCCGTCC